TTAATTTACCCAGTCAGAAGCGCGTCCAGTACCTATGTTTAGCTGCTGAGATGGGGAAATTAAAAGGGAGATGTTTCCAAGGGAACTGGAGAAGAATTGGGGAGAACTTTAGAAAGGGGGGCGTGGTAAATAAGCAGGGAGAGACCCAGAGAGCAGGGTGTGGGGCTGGGGGGAAAAGAGACAGAGGGAGTAGATGATGACAAAGACCTTCCTCAGGCAAGGACTTCAAGATGAGAAGCCCAGTAATGAGGTGAGAGCCTGTATCTCCCAGTGGGGGTGGAGGTGGGGGAGAAGGATGTGGGGCAGAGATGAGCATGAAGCTACTGGTATCAAATCAAACAGGAACACACAGGCCTCTGCGGGAACTTAGGGCCTTTCGGCTGGGGACCCCAGGGCAGAGGTGGGACTGGGGGAATCAAAGTCAGATTCTCTGCCCTTTAGTAGCTGACAAGTTATTAAGATCCTCCCTGTGCACCCCAATGAAAGATATGAACCTGTGAAGAGTTAAATACCAGCTCAAGACAACACCAAGGAAGACTAAGGGTCTTACAGCCTGGCTCTAATCAAACCCAACCTCCACCCCACCCTCCTCAGAAAGCTTCAGCACCCTCCCTCCACGCTCCCCCCAAGGGAAGGTGGAGTTCCCGCCTGGCCCTGGGGCTGAATGGCCCACAACACTCTAAACATAACCTTAGTGACTGGACACCCCACACTCCCCCACCAGGGACCACCTCGAGGCTACATCCCTACCTTCTTGTTGCACCTCCTGCCTACTACCCCCACCGCTGTCCTTAGGCCTAGGCAAGGGGGCCCCTGCCCCGGTCCTCCATGCTTTAGAGCAGCGGTTGCCAATCGGCGGTCCGCGGACCACTGGTGGTCCGTGAGGTTCGAAAGGTTGGCAACCGCTGCTTTAGAGGGCACCCCTGTGGCCCTTGTCCAATCATGTCTCTCCCCACAGAGCACAGAGTTCGCAGGGCCAAGGGGACGTGCCCGCTGGAACCCCAGCTCGTTTCCAAACCTGTGCTCCAGCAGCTCTGCCCAAGACGCCGAGCCTGCATCCAGCCTTTCTCCCGACTGCAGACGCTGCCTCAGACTGTGCGCCAGGCGCGAGGTGGCAAAGGGCAACCACTGGAAGGTCTGACAGAGTCTGGTGTGTGCGTGTTCCTGCCACAGCAGAAGGCCCCTTGCTGTGAGGGTGGGAAGATCAAGGGCCAGGGTAGACACTCAGTGTAATAACCTGTCCTGCACAGGACTCTGAGGAGTGGAACGCTCTGGATTCAAACCTGCACTTCCAAGTCTCTCCAAAGGGTATTTGTTACGGCAGGGGAGAGACCACGTTGGATTTGACAATGAGTTAGTTTGAATTTTAACTCTTGGACACTGAGACACAGGCCATGAGGTATCCTCTGACCCAGGCCCAGGCCCTGCAAATGTTGGGCTGAGCCTATCCAACTGCACACGTCACTGAGAGACGGAGGTTTTTCTGAAGCTTTCAGAGGAAGGCGGGAGGGTGACATTGCATATCACAAAGCAAAGCTCCATACGTTTCTATTTAACCAGCTCCGTTCTTCCTCTCAACATCCTCTCCTTCCACAGCCAGCCCATCTCTCCTCTCTCCCAGCAACCAGCCCCTTGGCCGGCCCCTCCAGCCTTGCTCGGTCCACCCCTCACTCCCCCACCCGTGAGATTCTCAAACCTCCTCCGCTCCCATCACTGCTGAGTCATCTCTCCCACCAGGTGGATCTTCCTGCACCTTACACTTTGGGACCATCCATGCAAAGTTTCGTGAACGAATTCGCAGAGGAGTTGGAACCTGAGTGAGACCTGAAGGATCGGCAGAACATGGAAAAGGAAGTCAAAACAGGGAAGGAGGAGAGGGAACAGGAGGAGCAACCGTGGAGTCTCCGTATCTGTGGGCAACAGTGAGCCACTGATTATTCTTGAACTAGGGCATGGCCACACGGTGGGAAGATCACTCTGTGAGGAACTGACAGGGACAGCCAAGGTGCAGAGAGGAGAGGAGAGCAGCTTGGACCGTGGATGTCAGAGGGGCAGGGGTGTGAAGGCAATGCAAATGGGTGCAGGAGGCCTGTACCTTGGGCAAAATGACTTGCTGAGGCCACGCAGTTCAGACAGTCGGCAGTGGAACTCCAGTCCCCAGATCACCAAGCTGTGTAATTCCCTCCCCACGGAGTTGCAAAGCAGATGGGGTTGGACGAGTCCTGAAGGCAGCCGAGGGGGAAGTCCTGCCCCGCAGACATGTCACTGGGTTCCCTGGGGCCTCTGGGAACATCCTGGGTCACAGCTGTCCACGGGAGATTCTGCTCTTCCCACTTGGGAGGAGAGCACAGGCCCTGATTTGGGTGGGAGTGAGGAACACCCCATGGGAAAGAGATGCATATTAGCTACTGCTCAACCTCTCAGCAACTCACCCGGGTGGGGCGGGGCGGGCAGATGGTGATGCTTTAACCCTGGGGCCCTGGGTGAGGGGTGAGGGAAGCTGGGATAAACTCCTGATACTACACAGTGCCCCATGGCTTCTGGAGTGTTATTCATTACCACCCCACTCTCCCACCTCTCTGCCTAGTGAAGCATATTCATTCTTCAAGTTACTTCTTCCATGAAGACTTCAATCCTCAGTCTTCCCTCCTCCGGACTCTCACAGCCCTGTGCTTCCATTGCAGTTTACTACTTGCTACTCTCTGCCGATAACAGCTGTGTGACTTTGGAAAAACCACTTAACCTCTCTGTGCCCCAGTTTCATCATCTGTAAAAGCAGGGTGATAAAAGAATTGTCCATAGTGATTTTAAGTGCATTAAACGAAATAATACATAGAACCACTGCTCCACCCTGCTAGCCGTTATAACCACAATGCCTTGTCTGTTGGCTGCTTGGGGGGTCTGCCTCCCCCACTGTGCTGCAAACCTCGAGGACAGGGATCACATCTGGCTTGTCTTCGTCTCTCCAGCTCTGGCTTAAGGGCCAGCACAAAGCAGGCCCATGCACTTGATATGTGCCAAGCACTGTGAGAGAATCTAGGTTTAGAAATAAGAAGAAGTTCAAGGGCTCCCAGAGTCAAGGTGGACACGGGTCTGTGTGTAAGGAGTGCAGTGGAGGGTCTGGATGCTGCTGAGGCCCTGAGCACAGCCAAGCACTAAGGAGCATGCAGGCAGTCTCCATCACTCAAAGCTTATTGAGATGAACGGAATTGTCCCATTTGACCCTCACAGCAATAGCATTTAAGGATGAGAAGATGGCCACTCAGCTGAGACAATCCCACCACTAGTAAGTCACGGGTCTGGGCCTGGGACCGGAGCCCCTCACTTCTCAAGGAGGGGGCTCACTGCTCCCCCGCCTCAGCCTCTGCCCTGAATTTTGCAGTTAAAAGACTTCCGGGCAACATCCACTCATTCCCTGGGCTCTGGCCTGGGCCAGCCCTGGCTTCCAGAGTATTTTTAGCTCTTGGCGGCCAGGCCAAGCTGGTGATTGGCAACAGGCGGGGCCCACCACGTTTCTGAGCCCTCCGTGTTGTTCCTGGCCGGGCATGAGAGGTGGCTGGGCTTGGGGAGGCAGCCAAGGCATACCTGGCACCACAGCCCACAGCTGCCTCATTGTCCATGGGGGTGGGGCGGGGCTGCTGCTGCTGCTACTGACCCCAGGCTGGAGCATTCTTTCCTGTTGATTCATCCCAGGGAATGCTTTGGGCCCAGCTGGGGCAGGGCAGGGGCACTGGGGGGACATCTGGGACACGGTTGGCCAGGGGTGGATGGCAGCTCTCTGGCAGCTAAGTCAGTGTGTCACCCAGGGATCAAAAAGGTCCACTTTGCCACCCTAGCTCTTATCACTCTCTGCCTGTGGTAGCGTTTGTTTACACATCTGCCTCCAGCACCAGACTGGGAAGGCCCCTCCACCCTCCACCCCCCTGCAGTGTCTAGCACTCCAGCACCCTGTCTAGCACGTAGGAGAAAATCAATAAAGGTTTGCTGAATGAATGAGCCTTTGGAAGACACTCGGGCAAGGTGGGGGGAGGAGGGGGAGCCAGACTGTACTGATCTGAGCCTAGGGAGGAAGCTGGGAGGTGAGCACTCTGCCCCATTTTACAGATGGGGGTACTGAGGCACTGGGAGGGACCCGGACTGTGGAAGAGAATTTGGAGGAAAGGGACTGGCATCTGGGTGCTCAGCTAAGCTGATGGGACTCGGCGCTTTCAGCCTTTTCTACTTTTGTTTTATTCCACAGCCTTCCTCCATCCCACCCTCCACACAACCCTCCCCCACGAGCCTGTCAAGGGGCCAGGACTGCCTCCTTCCACTCTCTACGGGGTTGTAGGGGAGGATTTACGTTCTCCTGGTGACTTGGGGAGCAAGTCGTGTCTCTTGGGACTCAGTGTTCTCAACTGTACAATGGGCAGAACAGAGGCCTCCGTGACGCCCACGCAGTAGTCAATAAACTGAGAGACCAATAAACCGAGAGGACTGCTGTTACTCCAAAGAGAGCCCACCCGCACCACACCATGTGGACCATCTGAACCGAGCGCCCTGCCCGCACCCCTAAATCACCAAGCACCCCAGGACTGACTAGGAGGCACTTCCATGGGAAGGAGCGCGCTGACCCAGACGCACTGAATGTAATCCCCCCGTCAGCTCCGGGGGTAGGTCTACCACCCGATTTGGCAGAGGAAACTGCCCCTCAGACAGGGACTTACGCACTCGCACTCCTGGCAGATGAGCACAGTCCTCCGCGGGACTCAGATCCTCCCACCAGCCATCCGTCCTGCAGCAGCGCCAGTTTCCTCCAAAGAAAACAGTTCCCCTCCGACCCCCGCAACTTCTCGACCCAGGGATTTCCCAGGCCGGTGGGGCCACGACACAACCTATGCGGGCTGGCACCTGGCCACGCTGGCCCGTCTCCCTGC